TACAACTTGATGACAACATGCTACCTATTTGATGGTCCAGCTCTGATCCAAGCAATAGGAAAACTTAGCTTTAGTGACCTAGTAGACTGAGATTGAGTCTCTAACAAATTTAGCACTTTTTGTAAGAGGATTGATGTTTTTTCGATAGGTATAGAAACAATTGTTACTCGATTAAAACATGGAACCTAAAGTGGTAAAACCCATGATATTTAGGATATTTTTAATATTTACTTTTAAATTATAATCTACAATTTGATACCAAACTTATTGGCATACATTAATAAAATAGTAGTTCAATAAAATTTTGAATGTGAGTCTACAAACGCGATGACATGGCCTTTGACCTGTGACCATAGGAAGACTCGTGTCAGTAGTGTGAATAAGCACAATGAAATTCCTCTATAAAGGTTTAATCCTATCTCATCTTATATTCACTGCATATCCATCCTAATTTGTAAGTGGAAACTTGCAGGTTTGCATCTTCACAATACAACTGTATGTGTTTTTCATGGAAAACCATAACTCAACTATTTCCATACTTATATACATGTTGAAGCTATGCTCATTAAATGTTCCAAACTTATATTTCTAATAACTTCAATAGTGTTTAGATATCCTAGAAATATTAACAATTTTCCAAGGTTCTACAGATTCTAGCTATCACCATGCACTGTTTTCAGTTGGGGTAATTCAGTGGTTAGCATAAGACAGTTTACATATATATTTTTTTACTAAGAAGTTTTAATTAACAACTCATAAAATACGGATGGAAACTTCTTTTCAGATGTTGATCTCATAACAGCAACGGGCTGTTAACCATAACACCATCCTAACTTTCGAGACTTATCACTCATTCCAAACTGTAGCGTCTTAGAGGACAAAAATAATTACTATGGTGGTGCATAGAAAGGCATTGGTCATTCATACAGTAGCTTTTTTTTACTTATGACACTTTTTAAATATCCAGGAATTGTTCATCTTCATTTTCTTCTTCCTCCAATGTTGAAACAGTGTAGTAATCAATTTTGCTCTCATAATTATCTTCAGATTTGTTTCATTCATTCTCTGCTTTCTGTTTCAGATGCTCATCAGTAACGTGCAACTTCAGTTTATTAACATAGGTTTGAGAGCTTTACTGGACTGCAACTGCCTGTTGAAAGAAAAAGAGACAACATTTTGGATTCATAACTTAGACTTTCTTCGGTGTGGTTTTCTTTTCTTTCAACAGACAGTCAACATAACATAACGTTTAGGGACAATAAAGGACCTATTGGCCCATCGCAGCTGTAAAGCCAACCATTATTACATAAATAGTTATCAAGCCTTCCCTTAAACTCCTTTAACTGCATCCACCACATCTGAAGGCGACACATTCCAGAGGCCAACCACCCTGTCAGAAAAATATAACTGTCTTAGCTGGAGATGATTCCTACATTGCCAAAATGAATATTTGTGTCCCCTAGTCCTACTATTCTCGCCATTAAGTATGAAAAAAGATGATGCGTCAACACTATCAATTCCATTTACAATCTTAAACACCTCAATCAGATCCTCTCTAACTCTTCTTTTTTCCAGAGAAAACAATATGAAAGATCTCCTCATATGACAACCATTCCTTATCAGGCACCATTCTTGTAACCATCCTCTGAACCTTTTCCAACAATTCAATGTCCTTTCTTAGGTAAGGAGCCCAAGACGGAATGTTGGATATACAAGACTGTGTAGTGTAAGAGTTGTTTGTTATAAAGCACAAAGCTACACAAAGGGCTATCTGTGCTCTGCTTACCACGGGTATCGAAATCCGGTTTCTAGCAGTATAAGCCCGCAGACATACCGCTGAGCCACTGGGTATTTAGTTTATTTAGAGATCTAGTATTTAATTATTACCTAATTTTCATAACAAGAGTGTTAAAAGTAATTATTTTAAAGGTGGTAGTTACGTAACTCGGTAAGAGCCGTACGTTGTTTTTGTGGTTCAAATGTTGTACTTTGACATTAAGGTTTTCTTTGTTTTTCTTGTTGCCTTAAATTAGTATTGTTTCATCATAGCACTGAAAGTGAAGTTAGAGTGTGTGATTGTTAGTTTAGCTGTAACAGGCGATATCTTGGTGAGTTTCACAGTTAACAGAGAAAAAGAGAATAATTTGTTTTGTCAAAGGGTGTCCTAAATTATTTAAAGTTCTGGATACAATTGTGATAACCCACGGTGTAACATAAGTGAATCTATCGTAGATTTCGCAGTAAGAAACAGAGTAGAGAAAATAATTTGTCTTGTCAATTGGATCCTGAAGTAACTGAACTCGCCTGTGTGGACTTTGACATAAAAAATAATTATTTAAAGCTCTATACAACTGCGGTAACCCATGAGGTAACGTAAGTGAACTTATCACTAATTATATTGTGATAACAGAAGATAATGTTTGTTTGTTATGAATTTCGCGCAAAGCTACACGAGGGTTATCTGCGCTAGCCGTCTCTAATTTAGCAGTGTAAGACTAGAAGGAAGGCAGCTAGTCATCACCACCCACCGCCAACTCTTGGGCTACTCTTTTACCAATGAATAGTTGGATTGACCATCACATTATAACACTCCCACGGCTGAAAAGGCGAGCATGTTTGTGGTGACGGGGATTCGAACCCGTGATGCACAGATTGCGAGTCGAGCGCCCTAACCACCATGCCGGGCCAACAGAAGCAAAAGAAATTATTTAAAGCTTTAGATCCAACTCTGATAACCAATAGTGAAACGAATTTTTTTACATACATTTGATTTGTTTTGAATATATTATTTTAAAACACAGGTTTTGTGCTGTCCATTTATTGCTGACATTTATCGCCAACATGTCACAGACACCTACTGTGAAAGAATACCGGCCCCTATTTATAAAAATCCTGACATTCAACACAATACTTCAAATGTTGCCTAAGCAGTGACCTATACAATGAAAGTATAACCTCTTTAGATTTGTATTCAACATTTCTGTAAATGTAACCTAAAATCCTACTTGCCCCTACCACTAGCAACAGCACATTGCTTGGATGGCTTTAAGAGACTGATCAACCACCAAGATCCACTTATTTCATGACACTATTGAGGTTATTCCCATCCCAATTATATTTATAATTCAAATCATGATAACGCAGGCATTACCTTGCACTTATTATAATTAAAACGTATCTGCCTTTTATTTGCCCAACTCACTGAATGACCTAAATCCTTTTATAAAATAGCACCATCCCCTTCACGGCTAGCAACACCCAAGACTTTAATATCATCATCAAATTTAAGAAATTTATTGACCATTCCTTCATCTATGTAATTGATGTAAATAAAAAATAGTAAAGATCCCAAGACTGAGCTGTGAGGTATCCCACTTGTGACATTGAATTCATTTTGACTGAACTGTATGTCTGCGAACTTACAGCGCTAGAAACCGGGTTTTGATATCCGTGGTAGAGCACAAATGGCCATATGTATAGCTTTGTACTTAATTATAAACACACAAAGAATATTATAGTTAGTAAGTTGAATGCGGCTGGGGAGCTCATACAACTCAAATTTCTCATGATGAAGATCATCTTGAATGTTAATGTGTAAAATTTTCAACATTTACTTGGAGTAAACTGCTCGGTACTGGTGCTATGAAATGTAGTCGTTGAGAAAGACTGAGTTCAGGAGATCAAAGTAAAAGTAGGTGGTAGAAGAAACCCTCCCTCAGCAGCTGTGGTCTTGGAAGGAGTTTTCTTCATGGTCAGCAAAGATAGCATAAACAAAGAAAGCAAAGGGGTCCTCGATGGTGGTAAAGCTGCCTGACTGGTTCTTGTTGTTTCTGCGTAAGTCCTAATTTGTTGTGGTTACAGAGATGGTCTAGTTGGAGCTTAGGGGTTCAATGCTAACAATGTGCTTGTCAAAAGGAGTGAACATTTGTTCGGTTACGTTTCTCCAGATTCGAAGTTACGAGTGGCCTTATAAGTATCACTAAAACTCAGAGCAAGAAGGATGGTAATTTATGTACAATGAAAAATTTTATGTTGCAGAGAGCACACAGTACCTAATTGGGACGATGAAATGGCAGCTTCCATCAGACATGATACTATTTAATTTGCTATAAAAAGAGATGAACTGGACATCAAACAACTTGTATCAAAGTTTGACGATTTGACGTGTTCGGGATGCAACAGATTTTAAACGAATTAATACAAACGATACTGTACCAACCAATATCAGAAATGATGTACCCAGTGCTAAGAAGTATGAAGATTAAACTAATTCGACGACAAAATGAGCCTGGTATAGCCTGGTGGCAATCAACTCGCAGTCTGCGAATCCTATCACCGCACATGCTCGCCCTTTCAGCTGTTGGGGAGTTATAATGTGATAGTCAATCCCACTATTTGTTGGTAAAGCAGTAGCCGAAGAGTTGGCGGTGGTGACTAGTTGTATTCCCTCTAGCCTATCTTCAAAATTATAGATGGATTCTGCTAATAATCCTCGAGTAGCTTTGCGTGAAATTCAATAGACAAACAAACGATTTTTGTGTGTCACGTGGTATACTGAATGCAGCATTGGTTCAAATTAGATGTTTGTGATGTCCAAATACAAAGTCTATAGTTTCTTACGAATTATGAACTCAAATTACCGATATTGACAAGCTAGAATATAAAATAAGAACCTCCTATCTTTTCTATTTGCTTTTTTATACCTATCACACCACTGCTCCTTCTAAGCGTATACCTAGTTCCTAAACACCATTTCCTTTCTTGATGCAAACCAAACAATTATCATTACTAAACAGACTTAAACATAAAGAAATATTATTGCATCAAAATGCAGAAGTAATAATTACCTAGGAACTGTTATAATCAATAATACTTGCATAAAAATAACAAAATGCACTAGAGTTGATTAAATATTGTATCTAAAATACCCATACACTGCTAAGTTTAAATTTAGTAAAAATGAATTTATGTCAAAGATAAGAAATTTACACAAAAATTACCAGCTTTAAGGGGCTTTTCATTGAAAAACCATTCCACGACCATAGTTTGATCACTTGCTGGTGTTAGTGTTGCCTCAAAGTGAGCAATGTCTCCCTCACTGAGGTTAGTTAAGTTCTGGAACTGAGAGGTAAAGACAGGAGAGTGGCCTTCTTCCACAGAAAGTGCTCTTTCAGGTAATCTAGCCAGAGACTCCTCCAGATCCTGGATCTTCTCAAGTCCTCGTTCTCCCTCAGGATGGAGTGTTCCTTCATAGATAAAGCTTTTCCCTATTTGAAGAGTAAAAAATGTTTGTTCAGAAGAAGGTTTATGAAGTAATACAAAATAGTAAAACTCTAAAAAAGGCCAGACATAGCATGCTTGCTCAGTAAAAGTTCTACCTGTACAAAAAATAATGTTATAATGTGGTCATTTAATCAAATTTCTACTTGTACAAAACCTGAAGGTATAAAATAGTTGTTCTTTAAAAATTCTACCTGTACAAAGCATAAAGATATATTCTGTTTGTTATGCAAAGTTTCTTACCTGTATCTCTTAAAAATATAAAATGTGTTTGTTCAGTAAATGTTCTATCTGTACAAAATATACAGATATAATATGTTCATTAAGTAAAAATTCTATCTGTACAAAACATAAAGATATAATATCTTCATTAAGTAAAAATTCTATCTGTACAAAACATAAAGATATAATATGTTTATTCATTTGTTCTTTATTTGTTGGAAAAGTTAACTAGAATTTTCATGCTTCTTCAATAAAACAGAAACAACCTATTTAATATACTTATTTATTAAAAATGCAAATTTTAAGAATGGTAAAATTGGCTAGGTCAGTTACTATCAGTAACACCAACTTTGTATTCGATGACGAGGAACCCACTTTGAGACTAATAATGGCTGGAGACGGTCTCCAGCCATTACCAACTTTGTATGTTACCAAGCATCAAGAATTTAACCAAAACAAATGTAAAAAATATTTTATTCAGATACCCTTGAAGATATAAAATCATTTCAATATTTTGCCTGCTAATACTTCAACTGAGAAACACTTTAAGACAGTATGTTACTTCCACAACTTTTTTTTCAAACAATGATGAATTTGCAATGACCACAAAATAAATCAAAATCTTTGAAAATAAAGTTGAACAGAATGATGTTACTTGATAAATAAAAACTCACCAATACACTGAATGGTTGTTGAAGTGAAGGCTTCACCTGCATTGTTATGCGCACGGCATGTATAAACACCAGAGTCTCTTGGCCAGAGGTCTGATACTGCTAGAGTGACTTGTCCAAAATCGCTGGTACTTGTGAAGCGAGATGCTACATGCAAGATGGTAAATATACAATGTCATTCATTTATAGATTAAAATTAAATCACTACAGTGTCTTCACTAACAATTAATTCTTGATTTAGTAAAACAAAAGGTTGTGCTGAAAATCAGTATAGATTCTTTTTTCCAACATCAGTATTTTTTGTAAAAGTGGTCCATTCATTCATCTTAAAGATGACGATTAAAACCACAAACAATTTTAAATAGTCAATAAAAATAGCCTCATTGTCAAAAACCTCTCTTTAAACAAATTTCATTATTCCTAAATAAGATAATATTACCTATTACCAACTAGCATAACTTGTTAATTTAGTTAGTGTTGTTTTGATAACATTTGTTAATGCATAACTTTCCATTTATTTCACCTCTATAGTTTTTCTCTTAATTGTGAAGAGCTCATGTTTTCATGTTTATTTAAGCTAATTTAATCTAATTATTGTTGAAAATTAATGTTTGAAAAAAAGAAGTATGTTAATTTTTCAAACTTTGCATGCACAAAAAACTTGATCACTGTGTTATGATGTAATAAACATTACATTCATGTATTTTCACGTATTCTAATCAAGTAAACTGTTACTATTTGATCTCCCATTTTTACATTGCAAAAATCATTACAATTAATGTACATATAGGTCATCAAATTATACATCATAGTGTGAGCTCCTTCATAAAATCAAAGTTTCAATAAACTTTTCATTCAAAGATATAAGCATCAATGCAAAACAACTGAGAGAAAACAAGATCAGACTTCTGTCTGAACATTTTTCATAAACAGAGTAGTGCTAAGCAGTGCTTCTACGTTTTATCACAAAAATATAACACTATTAAACCTTTTATCCAAACCTAATAGTAAATTCACTTTTTATCAAAATAAACAGTTACACTCTGTGGCTAGAAATATAATATTGATATGTAAAATTAAAGTTTCATTCATTAATTAAGAATTAATCTTTAATGAATATGACAAACTGCTCCAAGTTAATTTTTCATACAATTCCACGTTTATTAAAGGCTATTTGACTAACAGTTCCTTAAAAAATATTAAGTATTCCAAATTAAAAATAGTATTTCTACTCACTTCTAATTTTTACTATATATATAGAGAATGAGAAAAACAAAATAATAAGGAAAAATTTTTTAACATTATCTTCATGAGATTGTTGAAGCAATGATAAAGTGCTTTTGACAATAAGTAACACTTTCATCATCTTCTAGATTATTACAAGATAGAACTATCTTTTTAAATGCTATGACTCAACACAATAAAACCCATAAATAAGAACTGTATTAAATTTCATTCACACTAACTCTATTAAAACAGACTCGGTTCTAAATACTTCATTTTCTTACTATCTTCCAAATAAGTTTACTTGTCCAAAAAAAGCATCAAACCCAGTTTCATAATATCCTTAACCCTAATAGTTGGAAAGTTAGAAGATTTTAGACTACTACTAACAGAATCTGATTAGCTACTGCAAACCTACCAGTAAAGGAATGACTTATATGGGTTGCCATATAGTACCTTTCTATTACATAATATACAACAAATACAAGCAAGGAAATAAACATTATTTTTGTCTATTTATATTTATGATAACTGACCTAGTTCTAAAGGTTTTCCATTAAAGAACCATTCAATTACAAGTTTAGGATCAGCAGAGGGCTCATAACGACACTGAAGTTGAAGCCTTTCTCCTTCATTCACATTGAAGTTGGCTTGTAATGGCTCAACAAACACGGGCTTCGGAAACACTTGCTCTACCTCTTCCATCGGTACCTAATTCCCATAAAGAAGGATGTTAAGTGAATGAAACGACAAAGTTTTTTCTGTAGGAAAGTAACTAGTTTTTACTAAACTTTATATCAACATTATGCATACCTAAGAAGTTGAAATAATTAATAGCATGGAATGTGTGCAATTTGATACTGATTCCAAGATGAAAAAATAAATTAAGACTAACTTTCAATTGAACAAGTAAATATATGTGTGTGTGTGTGTGTGTCTGTATCAAAGATAAAATTTGTTTTAAAGCCAAATGTTGGTATTTATCACATACTGATATCCACTAGTTCTCCCTATAAAATAAGTTATGATGATTTAATTATATTCAATAGTTAGTTTATAGGGCCCGGCGATTAGGGTGCTAGTCTTGCAATCTGTGGGTCATGGGTTCGAATCCCTGTCACACCAAAAATGCTCGCCCTTTTAGCCATGGAGGCGTTATAATGTAATGGTCAATCCCACTATTCGTTGGTAAAAGAATAGCCCAAGAGTTGGCAGTGGGTGGTGATGACTAGCTGCCTTCCCTCTAGTCTTACACTGCTAAATTAGGGATGGCTAGTTTATAACAAAATGATCATACAGCTTCAGACAAGTCAAAGACTAAATATATTTAGGCAAAGTGAATAGTGCTTCACACCAGTTTCTATGTTTCTGTGTTAATGTTTACCTATAGTCCAATAAAAGTGGGCTCAAGATTACATACTCAATTCTCCTATCTGTTTTTCTGTTTCAACTATACCTCTAATCCCATTAAAACATTTTAGGAAAAACTTCTCTTTATAAGTATTGTAAGTGATCAGATTTTGACTAAGCTTCACCAATTTGCAATGCAATGGGAGTTTTCGACCTGTATCATTTTATTTAGTGAAGCTAATGCTTATTTTTATCTAACAAATTTTAAGTAATAATTTCATAATGTTGTGAATGTGAAAGTGCAGAATAAAAGATGCCTATATTCCTCACTTTCTTCCAAAGTCTTAGTAATGAAACAGGCAAAAACTAACCATATGAAAGATGAATGAAAACAATTGTACTTGATAGAAAATGTTATTTTCAGTAACCAATAAAAGTATATCATTTACTTCCCTTACTTATAAATTTTTTCTTATAAATGGGTCTTGTCAAACCACATTATTTCTCTGAGAAAAGGTTTAAAATGTTTTCTCACTCTTTTTTTTCTGTGGTGAAAAAAAGGTTCCGCAAGATATTTTTTCATTAAACTACATTCTTTACTTAGCATTTCAAAACATGTATCTTTGGATAGGTATTAAAACAAAAATATGAAATATTCTAAATTTCAGTATTTTTTCTTAATGAAGTTATATCAACATGGTACTAATATTCCACCCAAATCGGAAAAGATTTATTTACATAAAATAATGAAAACATTTGCTTTGAAAAACAAATGAAGTACAGTAGTTCTACATAAGACAATGTTTTATTTATTATATACCTGGTATCTGCTAAGGTAAGCTTCTTCCACTTGCTGTACTCGAGATAACCCAATTTCACCCATAGGATGTTGAGTTCCATAGATAATGTCTTCTTTACCTGTTTAGAGGGGAATAAATGGATTTATTGTACTGCAACTGTGATTATTTAAAACAATACAACCATAGCAATCAGTGGATTACACTACATATATATATATATTTGAAAAATGAAAAATATATTGTTCTTATAAAACATTTTTATATATAAACTTTACAAATTCTTGATCACACTGCCTTTAAATTTAAATTTGAACCACTGCTGGACTCCTTAGTTTTTTTCCCCATAAATGTTCAAACAATTTTACTTATGTAAGTGGAACATTTAACATAGAACAGAACTGATCAAGGTACTAAGGTTTATACAGTGTGTTACTACTCCAAAATCCTATACACTAAAAAATAATTATTTCATCTTTCTACAAGATGTTACTGCAGAATATATCACTGTAAATCTATAAGTTCACTGCATTAGACTAAACATTTGCCAAAGAGTATTCACAAAAATAAAAATTAAAAAAAACATGTTACCAATATGAACATGTTTAATGCTTCTAAAAGTATTTTTCAGGAGTGTACATATACTTACCACAAGAAATTGATTCAATGAATAAGCTTAAATACTTTAAACAATTTACTGTACATGGAATAGAGAAAGCCTGTTCTTAAACAGCCATACTCATGCCTTCATCCAACAATAATTATAATAATTAATGTAAACTAACCATTAATGTTATACTAGGTTTAACTGGATTAAAGAAGGAAACTTTTCTTTTTTGTACTTCTTAATCTTTAAAAGAACCAACATAATTCATTACTTTATACATAAACATCAAGAAAATTCATCAAAATAAACTGTTACTAACCATGAACTTTTAGCGAGCCTGTAGTGACAGCTTGGCCTTTGCTATTGGTAGCTCGGCATGTGTAAATACCAGCATCTCCAGTGTAGACACAAGAAATATCCAGCATAACAAAGCCAAAGTCTTTTTTAACCATGAATTTTGCAGCTACAGGAAACAAGAAACATGTATACAATTTATAAGCAAAATACAAAAACAAATTTAAAAACTGTACTATTTTTTATTCAACATTCTTGGAAAAAAAGCTGTCTAGGATTATTACTTCTAGTTTAAATGGACAGTACATTTCTGAGATATCTGAAAACATCATTACTTTAAAAAATGGAAAAGCAACTGCTGTTTTTTGCCTCCAAAAACTGTCTTTGAAAGATTAACTTAACACATTTATCAGAAATACAGACATTTTATAATGTTACCAGGTTTCTTTATGAGGAAAAATATTTATTCTCATTACCTGAAACTCATTTTCCAAGAAAAACATGTTCTACTCTTTCAGTGCATAAACTTTACAATGATTTAAGTTGTGCAAAAGTTAAATCTTTTATTGATTCCTATTAAATGTTCACATATAACATAAAATATCTTCTTTTATCTATGTTGTCAAGGAAAACATGATCCTGAGACCCTCTACTAATGTTTTCCAACACCTCACAAACTCTGATTCCCAAGTATTGAAAATTATTATTAAACCTGATTAAAAAATAGAAAGACAATTAGTTTAGTAAAAATTCTTGATCTCACTACCTTAAAATTTAGCTTTCAACTACTTAGCAGATTTCCAGACAATTTTACTCACATATTACTGATTTTACTGATTAAGGAACTAAATTTTATACAGTGCACTATTATTTCAGAGTCCTGTCACAGTGCCATTGTCTCAGGAAGACCAATCATATTTATAATAACTGGCTTTTAATGAATGATTATTAACACTTCAGAAGAAAAAATATTTGGACACATGGAAAAACATATTTGCATTTTATTGATATAGAAGTGTTTCTACAAGATTATACAAATATTGACTATCACTAGACAGTAAATGTAAAAGGGATAATTTATTAAAACATATATTTGGTGGTAGTTTTTATTACCTGCTGGAAGAGGTTTTCCATTGACTAGAAAATCAATGGTGAGAGTTGGATCTTTTGCTGGTTCCACTTGACACTGGAAATGTGCTGATTCTCCTTCTCTAAGCTCCAGATTGTTTAAGTGTGTTGTAAATACAGGAATTTCATACAATGGCTCCATGAACTCAGGTTCACGCATGATACTAGTTTCCAACTGTTGGATCTTCTGGAGGCTTTCTGGATGTTGGCTTCCAAGTAAGACTCCTTCACGACCTTGAAATAATGGCAGAAGAGGTTAATGTTAAAACACTGTTTAACAGCATATAGAAAACAAAGACATAAATCATTATCCTTTTATGCAGAATAATACTGAAGAAAGCTAACCAGAAGATTAACAAACACTTCTGTAATATAGTTTAGTAAAAGACAATCATGCTTTCTACACTTTTGAAATATACATAGCACATTTAGTGCAATTTTTAATCTGATAAACAAAATTACTGAAAAACCTGGAATAGGTCAAAACCTACACAATTCACTATTTTTCATGTTAATATGAATCTAATAAGCCATTTATGAATATATTACTTCCTAAACCACAAAACATTTTATAATCGGTGACTCAAATATCTGATACAAAAAGCACGAACAAAACAAAAATCTACAATTTAGTTTTGTAATCTTTTATGTTTGTAATCCATGCTAATTTTAATTTACAGTGCATCCTGTACAGTGCTGTAAATTGTAATTAATGTACCAAAAATTTGAGATATGAAAAAGTATTTTCTTAATTATTTAATAACAAAGGAAAAAAAATCACACTCAAATATCTAGACATTTCACATGTATACTGTTTACATACCAAATCTATAAAGCTTGAATCTAGCAAAGAGCTTTTGGAAAATCAGTTGCCATAATCACTATTCTTAAAAAAAATCTAATTACACTGTAAACATAGACATGCATCATACAAAAAAAATAATGTAAGAAATAGGTGAGAAAACAAAAATTAAAGTAAGTATGAAGGCCTACGAAGCTCTATTTGGCAATATTCTTCACCATTAACCTAACATAGCTCAGTAAATAAATATGCTCAACTGACCATGGCACGAGTTTTATTACCTAATTTGAGCTAATGTATTTAATATTTAACAAAAAATGATTAAAAACTACAAGTAGATTTGAGTTCAATAAAGAACCTTTAAAACAAGTACCTTCAACCTTGATAGTGCAAGTTGAAATAGCTTCTCCAGCTTCATTCACTGCTCGGCAAGTATAAATACCAGAATCATCAGGCCGTATTCCACTGATGTCCAGTGATACAAAACCAAAGTCAAATGTTGTTTTTATTCTTGTGCCTGAAAATATTTAAAATGAAGTACATATAACTAACTGTCTTTAATGTTACTGATAAAACCCTAATAGCTTATAAATAATTTATAATTTTAAAAAATTTAACTTTCTTTTGTTTCTTCAAAATTACATATGTAATAACAATAGATATTATTCCATTTTTGTCATTTTAATGAAAACATTTAGAATTGGTAATGCATGTTTATATCTCCTTGTTGGGATTTGTAAGTTTAATTTAGGTTTACTCTGAAGTTTGAAAATTATACTTTTTTCAATTCACACTTAATATGTGAGTGTGACTTAAAATATTGCTCATTATTACAACATATCCTTGGCAAAGAAAATCTTAACATTAAGGAAAATTAACAATCCAAAGAGACAACTCACCTGGTATTATGGCTTTGCTGTTTTTATACCATTCCACTATCAGTTTCTCATCATTTGCAGGCTCTAACCTCGCTTCAAGATGGACATTTTGCCCTTCTATCAGTTTTTCTTGGTTAATCAAGTGCTTTGTAAAAACAGGTCTTGTAGCAGGGCCAGCATCCCACCAAATTTCTGGAATACGAGATGAATCAAGCTCAAACTTTTGGGTTTTTCTGTGAGCTTCAGGATGTTGGCTTTCATCAAGAATTTTCTGACGACCTAAAGATCAACAGTAGAAATGTGTTAAAACAAATAATGCTTCAAAAATTCATAAATACTGAAAATGTGAATCTCAATAATAATGTATGTCATGCAAAAAAAGGATAGAATAAATATTTATTGTATTCCACACACATTCTACACCCAATTTTTATATAAAGTTAAGATATTAACATATAGAGATCTGAAGAACAAATGAATTAGACTTAAAGCTCAAACCTGTCTGAATTCAATTTTTAAATAACTCTAATAACCTTGGAAAACTGAAATTTTTAAAATTATTTTTCACCGCTTTCTGTGAGAGATAAAAATGCATATTAAAAGTTTTTAAATTTCATGTTGTTTAAACAACATAAAGCATGATATGTATGGCTTACTTTTCACTTTGATGGAAGTTGTGGTGACAGCTTCACCTGCTAAGTTTATTGCTTTACACATGTACACTCCTGAATCTTCAGGGATTGTAGACATAACATTAAGGCACACTAACCCAAAGTCATGAGTCTCTTGGATCCTGGTACCTGTTCAAATCAATCCAAATCACTTTGTTGAACTTTTAATGTGAATTTGTTGTTTTATTGAAGTAACTGTTTCTGATATAAATCTCAATAGAAAATGAGAAGTCTACTGAGAATATGAGCCATGATAACTGTATTGATAAAAAACCAGCTTGGAACACTATAAATTGTTTTTTGGTATAATTTGAAAGCCAAATATACATATACATCTAGGTAACAGCTCAGTTGATTTATTCTACATATTAAACTAAATTGATGAATATATATATATATATATATATATATATA